CTGTAGAAGCATCATCCCCACAAAATAAACTTAAAACATATGGGACATCATTGACCATGATGGGGGATGGCTGGAGGTTATAAAGACATACTGTGTAACAAGCTTAGTGATTGTGCCTGGCACACAATCCTGACTGCTCTTAGCTCCGTTTTAACGATGAAGAAAATGAGACAGATTTTCATAAGGTTGCACTGCTAATAAGTGAAAAAGCCCAGACTCACACCTACATCTTCTGATTCCAAATCCCATGTAATTTCCATAGCATCCTTTGCCAGCCAGGTGCACTGAATGAGGGCCCTGCTGGAGGCACTATCTAGACTCAAGTGGACAGTTGGTGCTGGGACCACAGCACTCCAGTGGAGGGCTGGGAGCAAGTGCTCAAGTGCAGTCAGTCTGAACCCTCAACGCATGCTCTGAGCAACTGTCTACAGGTAGGTCCTGTAGACAAAGCCTTCAAAACACAGAGTACCCCTGCCCATGTCTCTCCATCCTCCTTTGCTTCACTCTCGAATGAGCTCATGATTTTTTGAGTTGGCCTGGGCTATAGGATCAATGCCACCATTTAACATGCCAAGGCCTAGAGAACCACCCTGCAATTTTGCTTAAGGAGCTACAACTTCTGAGCTATATAGCAACCTGGGTGCCATATTAACAAAACTCAGAAACTCATGAAGATTTTTTGTTTTGTTGTTTGAATTTTTGATTGCATTCAGGAAGATGCTAATATCGTTTTGCAGTTCCATTGCTGCAAGCGACTTTGCCCAGATAAGAAAGATTTCAGCAAAAGACTTTCTTAATTAAGTATTGCCTGATGCCAGATTACAACTCAGAAGGCAGCGATAGGTTCCATTAAAGGATGAACTTTACTCCCACAGCTGACAGCTGATTAATGTGTTAATTAGGAACCCTGTTCCCCTCCCCCAGTTACCCGAATCGTCTATTAAGCCCAGCAGAATGTATATATTGTGTCCGTGTGGGTAACCTCATGGCATACTTTGGCTTTGACTTTGGACATTTATATAAAAATAAAGTCTCAGTTGCCAACATGAATAGCGTTCTTTCTTTCCAGGGGGAAATACAAGATGGAAAGAGTTATAGGAACCAGAAGTCCTGCCTTTCGGTTTTCTTATATCACGAGCAAGTGATATTTCTGCTGAGGCAGTGTCTTTAGAGAAGTTTAGTGGTGTAGGTTGCCACACATTTATTCACAGGAAAGGAGTGAATCCATCAGGCCACTGAGCTTATAAGTACTACCCTGGCAGTCAGCCACCAAAATATAAATACCCTAAATGGACTAAAGGAAATGTTCATTCTGTTGTTTAGAACTGGACACATCCCAGGAAGGTAAATTTAATCTTTTTGAGGACTGCTGTTATAGGGCTGAATGGAATACGCATTTGCTTATCTCCTTTGTGATCTTTTTGTCTTCCTGGTGATACATTATGTATTTGTGATACGAAGCGTTTCAGCTGTCTTGCTCAATGGCATTGCATGTGCTGATTGTTCGGTCTCCAGATTGGCATTGTTAAACAGCATCAGCCTCTGTCCAATCTGGGACATGTTAGGGAAAAAAGTGGAACCAAAGAGGCCAGATTCCAACAGAAACAAAGCCGGGGTGGAGTAAGGGGGAAATCATTCCAGAGCCCAGTGAGTTAAGCTCTACACTTCTTAATCTTTATCTTTTAAAGTATCTAAAAGAATTTTGATACTTCCTGGCATAACAAGGAAAAAATAATGCCTCAAAAAGTAAAAATTAAATTAAATTAAATTAAATTTAAGGCCAACTATGGAAAAAGAAGGGAAGAATACCCCCTAACACCACAATTCAGAAAACCAGTTTAAGAGATACATGCTGTATACTTCATGAATATACAAATGTTATTTTATTAAAGAGAGAGAGATACAGTATAAATTTTCACCTAACTATCGCATCTTCAGTAATCAGCTCAGGTTCTTATGATGAAATCTTTAATTACTAGAAGTGTGTCATTAGTTAGATGTAGAATGAATGATGGTGCTGTGTTTTATTGCCTCACATGATATCTCCATTTGTGCCATCAATTCATTGACCTCATCTTAAATGATGTGTCCTATAGGACAGGCTTGATTCATTATTTCTTATGTAAGAATTTTTTTCCCTAATAATTTTTTGCTTCATCAGAAAGATTGCTTTTCTGTATTTTTAGATCAGTGTTCTGAATTGAAATGTAATAAGGCAAGGAGCCATACACGCATACCCACACACACTCTCTCACATTACCCAAAAGGAGATAGTCGTAAACTGGCACACTATTACTAAACACTTTGAGATGTTGCAGAAAATCAAGTAGCTAACCTTTGTTTTAACAGGAAAATTTGATGAAGTAGGATTTTTGCCTTTAACTTTGATGTCTGTAATTCTTTTTATGTGGAAATAGATAAAATATGATGGAGAATTCTCATTTGATAATTGGGAAGATCTATGAGCATTCCTTATTCATCAATGAATTATTGGAAGTGAAGGGAGAGCATTTAAGTTATATTTAGATTATTATTATTATTTTATTCCACTTGAAAATATTTATTTAGCTTGAGGAAACAGGAGTCCTCTGGAGGCAAATAATTCAATTTGGAAATTTAAAAAACCAATTAAGAATTTCAGAGGACTCTTTCCCCTTATGGTTAAAAAATAAGATCCAAAAGAAATATGCCAGAAATTTTGGTACATTATTTTAATTAGTTTAATTCACTGATGTTTTTTAGTCCATGATTAAAGAAGCTATTTTTGATTCCCTCACTTCAAGCTTATAAATTTACACTTTAGGCTTTCTATGGATGTCTAATATTGAAACAAAAGCAAGTGGTTTTTATCTCATAATGGAATTTAAATTCTACATCATTATAAGTTAACTTTATTAAAACAATCAGGTTTTGAAAATAAGAACTTATGTGCATCATGTTTTCACTACTAGTTTACTTAACCTTTATCTAGATGAGAATTTTGAAGGTCTGATGGATTCTGTGGGTTTCTTCTCAACAGAGGCAGTTCTGCACTTACTTGTAAACTGGGACTGTCAATTATGATAAAAACTTCCTTTAATTCAGGAAGAACCTGAAACACTGTAGTGAAACGCAAGAGTATGTTAACAATGAAATTATATTTTTTAACCACTTTTAACAACTGCAGCAGTTTTGATAACTAAATTGTGAGAATGCCTTTCTGATCATCAAAGTTCACTCAGCAGTTTTCTCACTCAAATTTTTGCAAGAAGTATTTTGAAAGGGCAATTTGATATGTGACCAAACAAAAACTAATGTGTGCCAATAAGTATATGTTATTCAATCTCACACCATCAAGTTTATTTATTACCTGCAAACATCAGGGGAAAAAACAAGTGAGAAGAAAAACGGGTGGATTTACACATACAGACCCACATCTGCCATGTGAGTGTTCACCCACAATCGCATACTAGCGTGCCACCACTGTTTACAATCAAGGAAAGCTGAGAGTTAAATGAGATGAGTAATCAAATGCCCAGCATATGTTGTTTTTGCATTGTTTGTGTGACCAATCATTGTTAAAATTTATCATCTTTTAATTATATCAGTTTACAATAGTGAAAAAAAACCCAACATATACCGACAACAGAACAACAGACATCCTCTTCAACAAAAACAGGGTTCCATTTAGAACAATATTGGAACCAGTGCTTTACTGGGGAAGAGACTCAGATTAAAAAAACTCACCATTGCACTGTGTGTCACAGTATCTCTTCTGCTGCTATATGGCTTGAGTACTGAGGAAATGACAAAAAATAAAAATAAAGAAAGAAAGAATAAGAAAAAGAAAAAGGATTGTGTGTGTAAAATTCTGTCAAAAAAAGTAAGGCACTGAAAGAACTATTGAAAATTTTGACATCTGTTTATCTGTTTATAGCTATGGCAAGATTACTCATATTAATTCTTGTTTAAAATGCCATATGAAGGAAAGACATTTGTGCAAACAAGAGTCATATTTGAATTGTAGATCATGTCTTCACCATCTGTGAGAGCTGATGGTGTTGCAAAATTAATGTGTTAATGAAATCACAATAATTTCTCCAAAGTAATGGGTTCTGAAGCTGAGAATGACTATTTTTTGAACTTTGATGTCTAGTGATTTCCAATTGGGAATAGCTCTCAGCCTTTAATTAGTTCTACAGCCCAACTTTAAAATAAATTTGGTGATGCCTTTCTTTTGCCAGGAGTAGATTTGGGGGAGGGGGGAAAGCCATAACAACTCTTGGAAAATGTTCACTGGTGTTTGAAAAGTTGTTAAATAAGACTGCCTGCCAAGAAATGTCACCAAAAATTCTGACTACTGAGAGAGAGTGGGCAAACAGCTCAAAAAATAATTCTAGCTTGCTGCAACATCACAGGTTGGGAATAGCTAAACCTCACACAGACTTCATGATTAATTCCAAGTTTCTCCTTGGAAGCCAGACATAATGATGTTCAGTGCTTTGTGTTATTGGTTAACACAGCACACCCTTTCCAACTGCATTATCGAACACAGTCAATAGTGTAAAGGGACTTTGCATGAGGAGAATTTTAAAGGGTTATGTTTCAAGCCCATTGAACTTTCTGGAGAATCATTACCTGCAAAACCAAATTTAGATTTGCATTTACAGTTTGTCTCTTTGACAAGTGAAAATGTGTAGGCAGGTATGTTGGGCAGGTATATGTACTCCTTTTTCTCAGAGCCATCTTGAAGTCATGCTTAAAGGGGACACAACAATTTCTTGAAAAAAAAAAGAATAAGAGGTTGTGATAATTGCTATGCTGAAGAGTTAATATTTATAAAACAAACTCATCATTTTGCAAACATTTCAGAATTTTATCTTTTAGAAGGAAACACTTCAGTCTTTTTGAAAAATTGTGTTTGATAACGTTTGAAAGAGACTTTATGTTAACATGAAATGCCATCTACCCAAGGAAATTGCTTATCTTACTGTTGTGGTTTTTTTATTACTGTGTTGTAGGTATGTGACTGGTGTAAGCACATAAGACACACAAAAGAATACCTGGATTTTGGGGACGGGGAAAGAAGGCTTCAGTTCTGCAGTGCAAAATGTCTCAATCAATACAAAATGGACATTTTCTACAAAGAGACACAGGCCAATCTTCCAGCTGGGCTGTGCAGCACATTACACCCTCCCATGGAAAATAAAGCAGAAGGCACTGGGGTGCAGCTGCTTACTCCAGACTCTTGGAATATCCCGTTAACAGATGCTCGGAGGAAGGCACCCTCCCCGGTGGCTGCAGCTGGCCAAAGCCAGGGCCCTGGCCCGTCGGTGTCTGCCACCGTCTCTCCATCTGACACTGCCAACTGCTCTGTTACTAAAATCCCCACGCCGGTACCCAAGTCCATCCCCATCAGCGAGACTCCAAACATCCCTCCTGTTTCTGTCCAGCCACCTGCCAGCATCGGGCCTCCCCTTGGCGTCCCGCCTCGCAGCCCTCCCATGGTGATGACCAACCGGGGCCCGGTGCCGCTGCCCATCTTCATGGAGCAGCAGATCATGCAGCAGATCCGCCCGCCCTTCATCCGCGGGCCCCCGCACCACGCTTCCAACCCCAACAGCCCCCTGCCCAATCCCCTGCTGCCCGGCATCGGGCCCCCGCCCGGAGGCCCCAGGAACCTGGGCCCCACTTCCAGTCCCATGCACCGGCCCATGCTATCGCCCCACATCCACCCCCCGAGCACCCCCACCATGCCGGGGAACCCCCCGGGCCTGCTGCCCCCCCCACCCCCCGGCGCCCCCTTGCCTAGTCTTCCCTTCCCACCTGTGAGCATGATGCCAAATGGCCCGATGCCGGTGCCCCAGATGATGAATTTCGGGCTGCCGTCGCTCGCCCCGCTGGTGCCACCCCCCACCCTGCTCGTGCCATACCCCGTGATCGTGCCCCTGCCGGTGCCCATCCCCATCCCAATTCCCATCCCCCACGTCAATGATTCCAAGCCCCCTAACGGATTCTCCAGCAACGGGGAGAACTTCATTCCGAGCGCCCCCGGGGACTCCTCGGCGGCGGGAAGCAAGCCAGGCGGACAATCCCTGTCCCCCCGGGACTCCAAGCAGGGCTCGTCCAAGTCGGCGGACTCTTCGCCCGGCTGCTCGGGCCAGGCCCTGAGCCTGGCGCCTGCTCCCGCGGAGCACGGCCGCAGCGAGGTGGTGGACCTGACGCGGCGCGCCGGC